ATCTCAGCAAATTCTAGCCAATATTATCCACCTCATAGGTGAGCCAATGAGGGGAAGCCAAGGATTTGAGTTAAAGCCTACTCAACATGGGTTTAACCTTCGAAGTTCGAGTGAACTTATCCTCAGCCGAAATTCTATCTAAAAACCATCATTAATGTGATCAATAGCATCCCTAAATGAATCTAAATTGATCAGGGTTCATTCATGGCTTTCTAAAGCCTATTTATAGGCCAAATCGAGAGCCCATGGAGGGGAGCAAAAAAAATATAAACTTAATTATATAATTTTCAAATTTTTATAGCGGGTTAACTTTTTTTCACACAATATGGAATTAATTTTTTTTATTTTTCATTAATAATTAGTATACATAAATTAATAAAAGTTATATGCACTTAATCAAATGTAGAAATTTACAAAATTATTCAAAGCATCATGATATTTTTTCTAAGCTTCTCTGAACATAAGAAACCTACTAAAATTTTTCTCATACTTTTCCAAGTGGTATTTTTGTTTATATAATTAAAAGAAGTCAAAATAGCCATCCTAAGTTGAAAATTATGGTTAGAAGCACAGGGATGCTCTCTGACCTTGGAAAAATCAGAGAGCATTATGGTTAGAAGCACAGAAATGCTTGATCATAATGAGTTAAAATGCTTCAGAGAGTAGTTAATTCATTAAAAATCAGTTAGTTAACAAATAATTTTCATTTGTAGTCCACTTTATTCACCTCTTCTCATTGAAGAAGAGGTTATTTTTATTTTATTTTTATGATTTTTCTACATAAAGATATGATTTTTCAAAGCTTAAGCATTAAAATAAATAAAAAATCCCTCTATTTATCTACTTATCCACGCAGCGCCACCTCAAAATCGTCCACTCTGAAGTCTCCACGCGGTGCTCTACCATTTGAAGCAGCCAGCCACGTATCCACCTCGTAAGCCCGCCTTTTGGTTCCATCCCTGCTTCCGGTTTGTTCTCATCTGTTCATTGAATAAGAGCGTGATCGAACAGCTCTCCGTCATTATCCCTAAGTGTCCAAACCCGAGAACCATTCACACTAAAATTTTAAGATCTTGATCTAGACTCAAAAAAATCTCTTGGGGTTAATTTTTAAACTTTCATGTACTCAAGACGCGTCTATCAATATGGTTAATTAATTATTAAATCAAGCCATTACACATGAAGAATCAAAATAAGCTAGGTTTAGGGTTGAGGCTCAATACCTTTGTATGAGAAAGGAGGCCCCAATAAGACAGTTGTAGTAGCTTTGGATTGACCCAATGAACCTCCAGATGAGTTCTCAAGGAGTGGTGAATTGTCTATCTATAATTTCGATGAAGCTTGATTTCAAGTGTTGGTCTAGAGCTATGTTAGAGGCTGGTTAAGATGGGGGTTTTATGGAGAATCAAATCCTTTTGCTCTGGTGATGGTGTGGGCATAGTTAATTAGAGTTTAGTAGATTGTGGAGGTGTAGATAAATTTGTCCTAGTTCGAGCTGAAATTTTGAGCTCAAAATTGAGCTCTCACAGGGGGAACCAGAGGGGGAAAATGGTAGGCTTGAGCTGAGGAGTACTTAGAGAGTCTCTGGTGAGATTTTGACAGAGTTTTCCCAAGGCTTTTGACTATAAGGATTTTGATGCTCTCCCATTTGGCCGTGAAAGGGGCTTCTTAAATAGAGGAGCTTGGGGTGGCCAAGGTGGAGGGATGAAGAGCTTTAGTAGCCAATCAGACTTTGCCAGCTCAGGTGAGTTTAAATTTGGGTATTGGCCAATGGGGGTTCCCTTTGGCTAGATATTTCTAGTGGCTGAGGTGGTAGCTAGCCAGGGTTCACTCATTTTTTGGCTCAAGGACGTCAGGGGGCGGTTAATGATGGTTAACCCTTAATGGTATGACAAGCTAGAAAATATATTTCAAGAATAAGCCAAAAATGGAATGAAATCCTTTAAATTAGGGGACTATTAGACCATAGCTCCTCTAGGGTGGGCTAAGTGAGTCTAGCCTGGTCACTAGGGTGTACTTGATGGCTGTATAAGCTTTGACTTGATCAATTTGACATAGCTTGGTCAATTTTGGTGCATTGGTTCAGTTTGGGTCCAATTGGCTTAAAGTTGGGTCTTGGTTGGGCTAGCCATGACATTGGGATTCAATTAATTGAGCAACTTGGTGTAAATGATTGACATAAAGAATTTAGAAAAGATTTATGAGTGGTTTTGAATTGATTTAGGAGTTATATTTGGTGGTATTTGATCATTTAGTCATTTTGGGCATGTTGGGTTGAACTTGTGTTTATGTTAGGCTAAAGTTGGGCTAAGTCCAAATTGATGATTCAAAATTGTCTAGGGGGATGTTATAAATAGTTCTCAACATCAATTGGATATTTGTTTAGGGCTTAGGACATTCAATTTGGTGGAATTTGGGCACTTGGCTAAATTTGGGCAAATTTTAGGAATTTGGGATTTGGGTTAAAATTGAGTGAAATTGATGCATGAACAAGGCCAATTGAGGTTTCAATTTGGTGTGTATGAATTTTATAAAGGGTTTGAGATTCAAATTGGAGCAGGTTAGTGGGTTATAGGGTTCAATTGGGTGAGATTAGGCTATATGGTCAAAATTATGGATTTTAGTTTGGATTGAAATTGTGTTAACAATATGAGTCAATTGGACTTGAATTTGGTTCTATTTGAGTTTGTTTAAGATGAATTTGAGTTTATGATTGAAATTAGAGAGGATTGGGATCAAATTGGCGGACATTTTGGGTGAATTACGACAATTGGGTTTTTTAGGGCAATTGGGGCTTCTTGTCAAAGTTGGTCAAATTGTCAAAATTGGGTTGAGTTGAAAAGTTTAATTTAGTGTTGGGCACATTTGAAATGATTTTGGGGGTTTTGGGAAAGTTTGGGCCACTAAGGGTATTTTGATAGTTTTGGCAATTTGAGAGGTATTTTGGTAATTATGGCAATTTGAGGAGGTTTTGGGCAATTTTGGTGGTTTCAAATGGTTTGAGATGATTTTTGAGCAAATTTGGGTATTTCAGGTGAAATTGGGAATTTTGGTCAAACTTAAGATTTGGGGTGTTTTGGTAAATTGGGTAGATTTGGGGGGCAAATGACTAAGTTAGGTATTTTGGTGAAATTGAGGTGTCAACCACCCTATTTGAGCTATGGACCAATGAAGTCTCCATTTGGGTCCTAGAGCTAGTGGGTTTAGGGGGCCATCTACATGAGTCTCCCAAAAGATCAAGGGATCACAATCAACAAGTTTGAGTTCAGAGTTGTGAGTGGGATGTAATGTGCAAGTGAGTGACAGTGTATGCACCAGCTGAAGACCAATGCCCCTTTAAGACCAAACAACCCTATGGGGACTCCACTTGAGCTCCCCCATATTGGCCCCACCTACTAAGTGCTAGAGGTTAGGACCAATATGTGGAACTTCAAGTTTAGCAAGGAAGATTTTAGAGTTTCTAATGGTGAGAGTTCCTTTTCTAGTCCTCTAGGAATAGTTAACAGGAAAGTCCTATGGCTAGACCTTAGGCTACTAAAGAGGAAGCTGGACCTCAACCAAAAGTGAGGTCAACAAATGGAACCCCAATAGGTGTGATGTGCCGAGGGAGCACACCGCACATTTTGGCGTTGCCCGACAAGATCAACAACACCAACACAGACTACGAAGAGCAGAAATAGGTGACAGTGGTTTCCGCTAGGGAATAACAGAGATTCTCACCGAGGAAAAGAGAGGAGATTTTGGGGACAATCATCTGATAGAACGATAGTCCCAACAAAGATTTGATTCAAATTTAATTTTAAAGAGATTTTGTTTGGATTTCAATTTAAAATTTCAAGGAGATGAAATTATGCACAAGGAAACTGGATTGAGTGGATAACACATGCATAGAAAAGAAAATAAGGCATCATAGTCTACCTCAAATGTAAGGAGGGGAATAGGGCGTCAAAGCCTACCCCGATTTTAAGGTTGGGAATAGGACATCTAAGCTTACCCCGAATGTGAGGAAGGGAATAGGACGTCTAAGCCTACCCCGAATGTGAGGATGGGAATAGGACGTCTAAGCCCACTCTGAATATGAGGATGGGAATAGGATGTCTAAGTGTACCCCAAATGTAAGGATGGGAATAGGACGTCAAAGCCTGCCACAAATGTAAGGATGGGAATAAAATGGCTAAGCCTACCCCAAATGTAAGGATTAGAATAGGATGGCTAAGCCTACCCCAAACGTGAGGATGGGAATAATACATCTAAGCCTGCCCCAAATGTGAGGATGGGAATAATACATCTAAGCCTACCTCAAATGTGAGGATGAGAATAAGACGTCTAACCCTACCCCAAATTTAAGGATGGGAATAAGACGTCAAAGCCTACCCCGACTGCAAGGATTGATAGTGGAGCAGAAAGATTGAAGAAATTTGCAAGAAGTAAAAGACTCTGTGAGAATGTGAAGAAATTGGTGTAGATGAGGAAATTCATCCTACGCAAGCAAAGAGTGAGAAACATTGAACTCGAGAGAAACAATTCAAGCAAAATTTTTAATTTCATTGGTGTCTTTATGTCATTTAATTATCAAAGTACATTTTCAAAATATAATTTTTGTTGGTTGATTTTCAAAAACAAGTTTATACTTTAATATCAAACCTTCGTTATATTGTTATTTATTCATTATAAATCAAAACCAACGTATGGTTCCATGACTTTTTATCAATCACACAAAAGGGTAATTTGAAAAACATGTTGAAATCTGAAAGAATTGTCATTAATCTGCTTCAAATAGGTGTTACAGACTGAATACATGCTGAAAGCATTAAAAGAGACAATCATGTTGAATACATCTGAAACATCATATGTTGAATACATATCATATATGCTGCTCTGATGTAGTATAAAAGGTGACAAAAAATGTCTATATGTTCTCTATGGGATGAGCTCCTAATTAAGTTGGCATATTAAGCCATTCTCTAGGGAATTTACATGTGCTTAAAGGTGTAACCATCTCACAGGTCGTATGGGCACAACTCCTCTAACTTTGGATCTGGTCGGAACCCATATGGTATCTTACTGTCGTCCATCTTTCTGAATGTCACAGACACTCTGCAGTGTCGTAACCATGGAATGCAGTGCTTGGCTAAGTCTGTTCCATTTAGTTTTAGAATCAGTACTGAACCCATCAGTACTGGAATCTCAACAGAAAATTTGAATTCCCCAAGGCCAATAATGTCAATTTCTTTCCGAAATAGTATATTGCTCTTACTCATGAAGGACACCATGTAGAAGGGCCTCACAAAATCATGATGGTCTATGTGCAGGGGAATGCAATCCCCTTCATCATAGATATTGATTATACAATTGTTTGGAATGCAATTGGCTGGTGGTATACTCCATCTAGCCATTCTTTTGATTGTTCTCTTTATTTCGGAAGGCATCAGATCCACCTCATCGTTTCATAAGGGGCATCAGGTAAGACATGGCATCAGATACACCTCATCAGATCCACCTCATCGTTTTATAAGCCAGCTCCTCCAGAATGTTGAAAAAGTTTCCTTTGATTTCCCCATATAATTCAAATTCTCGCTTCTTTAATTTGCTGATCTTGTTCAATTCTACCATGGTGACCATTTTTGACTGTTAAGGATGCTCCCTCATTTCCACATCTGTGTGATACCATGTCTGACCTGGCTCTGTAGGTAATGAATTATATGACTCTTTGTCCGGGTAAGCTGTCTCTAGACGTCCCTTGTTGGTGGTTATGAACTCCTTAAAAGAACTATAGTGGTCTAAGTGGAGAACATTGCATGTTGGGCATTCCACGAATGCTCCTCCTGTTCATTCTTGAATAGGAATTTTGACATTGCACATCGGGAAACCCTTCTAAATTTCATATGGTATTTTAGATTGTATGTGCTCTGCAGGAAACTAGGACCCATCCTCTATGGCAAGCAAATTGGAGGAAGTTTCTATCATGCCTGGGTCGTAAAACCCCTCTTAGGGAGTCGGGGTGAGTAAATTTTCTACCTCCTTCAGGCACCTCTTTTCCTCTCATAGAATTGTTCTGTGCTTGTGGTGATTAGCATTTCAGTGTTATGTTCTTCTTAGAGGCGCATCTAGTTCTTTCTTCATTAGCACCGATTAGATCCTCCGTTGGCACAGTTATCATTGACGATAAGTAGCTAGTTCCTTCCATCAAATTTTTTTGCGTTATCACTTTCTTCCACTTCAGAGAGGAGTCTTCTTTTGTACCGACGCTCAACTGTAACAGTAGTTCTTCTTTCTCTTGATGACTCACTATGTCCACCAGAGGACCTTCATAGTTCATGTTGACTTGACTGGAATATAAGTCAAAATCTATGATGCCACCCTGAGCTGCTCTTTCTCAATTCAGTGTGAGATTTAAGCCTTTTTTAAATGTGAATATCAGCTTACATCCCGACATTTTTCTAAAGAAAGAAACACATCAGTGCTCTGAAATTCAACACGAATAAGAATGAAAACAAAGTAATTATTAAACACAAGTTTTAATTTATACTGGTGCAAATTTCTCATTTAATTTATTTTAATTTAATGAAATTTCAAAATTCAAGATAAAAAGAGGAAATTAAAGTCAACAAATTTCAAAAATTTCATTTTATCTAGGTTAATTTTATTACAAAATTTTGGACCCAGTCACAGTCGCTTGGCAAATAAATAACCCCAGAACAATCAAAATTTCAAAAAGTCAATTTCAAGCAACATCACGTCGGGTAGTATACCTTCAAGTAGTAGATGTTGACTGGTAGCATAGGTCTTTCACCTCAAAAATTGACCAGCTGGTAAGCTCCTCCATAATAGACCTTCTCTATGACAAATGGTCCCTCCCAAGTTGATTGAAATTTTTCACCTATCTTGCGGTGTGCAAGAATAAGTCTTTTGAGAATGAGAATAGGGTGACCAACTTTGAACACCCTTAGGTGGACCAAATTTTCATGAGCCTGCACCATCCTTTCTTGGTAAAGTTCCAAATGTTGTTGTGCTTCTAGTCGTTTTCCCTTAAGAATTTCCAATTCCTCAAGTTTGAGCTTTGTTCTTTCTTTTTTTGTAATTTTGTTGGCAACAAAGACTCTGAGAGACGGTGTCTAAACTTCCAGCAGCAGCATGACCTTGAACCCATACAAAAGCGCGTAGGGTGTGCATTGAGTAAGAGTTTTGAATGTCATCTGATAGGCCCACAGAGCTTCTAATACTTTATTATGCCAATCTCTTTTATTTTTGTACAATGTCTTCTTTAAGATCTGCATGAGCTTCTTATTGAAGGCCTCAACCAATCCGTTTGTATTGGGATGGTAAATTGTGGAGTACCTCCATTCTATCTGATGTCTTTTGACGAAGTTGTTGGTCTTGGTACTCTTGAAAGTTGTCCTATTGTCAGAAATCACTCTGCGTGGTACACCAAAATGGTAGACAATTTGACTTTTAAAAAATTATAGAACATGCTGTGTTGTAACCTCTTGTACTAGCATTGCATCTGCCCACTTGGAGAAGTAAACCGTAGCGGCAAGAATGAATCTATGTCCCTTAGAGGATGGAGGTTTTATTATACCTATTATGTATGTGCCCTAACACTCGGATGGTCATGAGGCAGCAGTTGGGTGTAGCACAATTGAAGGTTGGAGTGAGACCACCGCATGCACTTGGCAAAGGTGACATCTTCTGGATGTATCCATGCAATCAAATATCATCGCTGACTAATAATATCCATGCCTTTTGATCTTCATTTTTATTTTTCGTCCTGACTGGTGAGCTTCTCACAATCTTTCATGGACTTATTTGATAATATTCTGTGCTTTAACTCTACTTAGACATCTCAACAACATCTGATCAAATGATCTCCTATAGAGGACATCACCCACTAGAGCATATGACATAGCCCTTCTCGTGATGTGATGGTACGCCTAAAAAGGTTCAATTTATCTTATGCTTTTAATGCCTATATTTGCTAATTTTCATTGATAATTCACTTTAAGGGAAGGAATTTTGTATATTTTTGGTTTTAGGTACAAAAAATGGAGTTTTGGAGAAAAAGAAGCAAAAACGTTGTAATTTGGAGCAAAAACGAGCAAGAAAGAAAATTTTGTCCTAACACATTTTGATGTCTTTCTATGCTTAATCGCTTTTACACTTATCACACATTTTTGAATGAAATTAAAATTTGAATGAAGGTTGTTTTTATGCTTATTTTGTAGGTCTATCTGTTAGGAATGCAACGCAACTGAAACGGGGCGAAACGGAGCTAAAATGGAGCCAAACAAAGGAAAATGGTGGAGCTGCACAGCATGGGCGCTATGCGCCAACGGTGCCAGAGTCTAGAGAAGTGATGAAAAGTGGCACCGACGGTGCCTAGACTGACGCCGACAGTGCTCGAGACGATTATGGACAAATTTTTGGTGGTTTTTCATGTTCTAGAAGGCTCACAAGTGATTCAGACACCCCATGAAGTTATTCAATGCATTTAGAAACTTGGAGAAGGCTTTTGTATGAAGAAACATGTCTTTTGGATGAAGAGATTTGTCTCTTGGGAAAAAGGAGAGAATTGGTGTCTCTTTAAAAAGAGGGCTTAGCGCCTTTCATGGTGTGTGTGTGGGGAAATTTGGAGAATGTTTAGAGATCTTAGAATTGAAGTAGAAATGTAGATTTCTACCTTTTTGGAAAGATTCGTGAGGGGAATTTGAGAGAATCTATAAGGGAATGTTCTAGCATTGCAAGGATCAACGAGAGACTTTGTCGGAGAGATTTTCATCTTTCTTTCAAGGAGACAAAGCTAAGTATTGTGTTCTTCATTATCTTATGATTTTGTAAACACTTATCTAGTGAATTTGCTTAGATTTAATGAAGTTTTTCATTATGTTTTCTATGTGCTTTGTGATGTGGTACTCTTACTCTTTCTTCTCTTTTGGAAATGGTGGCATGATAAGATTATTCCATTATTTTCCTTTTACTTTTCTTTTGCAATGAGGAGGATTCATGTTTAGGATATTGGGATGCATGCTTGAATAAGTTTTAATTATAACTGTGATTGTTTTTACTTGCACTTTATTTACAGTATAATAAGGCCCGTTGTTGTGTTAAAATTCATTGTAATTACATTAAGACCCGAGAGGACAGTGTAATTCTCAACAAAGTGGAACCACATTCAAATTCAATTGATGAAGTCATGGGGGTTGAGCTCAAATAAATAGGAATATATATATATATATATATAT